AACCTTTGACCCACTGACCCAGTACCTTAATCGGTTCGATGACCGGTCCGGTTTTTAAAACTATGGTCGAGAATACTTGAACCAGGAGTGGTTCTGACCTGAGTGGTCCATAATACTCACTACTAGCCAGAAGTGGCTGATAAGAATATACTAGCGCTGATGAGTGAAGCTGGCGGGCCAGAAGTGGTCGAGAATACTTGGGGAACCAAAAGTGGTTTAAAAATACTATAGCTGTTGAGTGAAGCTAGCCAACCAAGAGTGGTTGAGAATACTCGTGACCAGGAGTGGCCGTGACCGGGATGGTCTATAATACTCAAGGCCTGGAGAGGTCGAGAATACTTGGACCAGGAATGGTTCTTACCTGGATGGTCCATAATACTCAATGCTAGCCTAAAGAGGCTGATAAGAAGATACAAGCGTTGATGAGTGAAGTCAACGGGTCAGAAGTGGTCGACAATACTTTTGTACTTAATTGCATATTTAGTGGAACCCTTTAGTTGAAAGAGACTAGACGTAGCTCAGTTGAGCGAACCAGTATAAAAATGAGTGCAGTGTTTTATTTATATTTCAGATGCAAACTCTTTTTAATTGACAAATCATGTTAAAAACTTCATCTACTACCTATTCTTCATTAAAACCGTTTTTCAGACGCAGACGCAAACTTTGATTAACATGTCTAGTATGCTCGAGAGCTTTATCTACTTCATATCTTTAAATGAAACTATCTTGAAAGGGAAAATGCAAGAACTTTAATCATTATTGTTATATGAAACATTTTCCTTCAGCAGACGATAAATCCTTCAGACCTAATGACCTTGTATTAAGCAGATTCTGCATAACCTTCTGGTATCTAAAAGTACATTGGACGAAGTACATTATTCTTGTGAAAATGGTATAAAATTCCTTCTTACACACACACATATTCAACCCCCCCTTCTATGTGTTTCATGTCTAACTTCAGATTCTACAACAAACCCTAAGAGTCCAAAACTTTATCATTATCCCCTACATCAAGAAGGAGACCTTCATCCTCAGTGTTGTCATCTCTTTCTTCATACATTATTTCCTCATCATTCCTTGATGACTATTCTTAGGGAAGAAAAGATGCTTCAGCATCTGGCTTTTTAATTCGACAGGATCTAAACCAAGTTCACAAATGAGCGGCAATAAAAATCTCTGGTACACTATAAGTATCCTATCCAAAATTTGCCTTTCTTTGAAAATAATGTTTTTAAGAATTTTTTTAACTTATCAGATTCAATGTTTTATTTATCATACTAGTAATGACCTGCTATGATTATCACACTTAAGGATCACAATTACAAGCAACAAAACTACAACTATATGAACATTATAGCTGGTGTGTGTGTGTGTGTATATATATATATAGATAGATAGATAGATAGATAGATAGAAAGATAGAAAGATGTGTGTCTGTGGATATAACTAAAAGTTATACTAGTATATGTATAGTAATCCCATTAGTACTTTATATAAAACCCTAAATTATCGATCAAACAACATCTATATAGACCAACAAAAGTAGTTATAAACTACATCGCCAACAACATGGCCTGATTATAGCTCTAAAATCTCTCTCTAGTTATCCCTGCCCTACTTCCATAAAAATTATGATCATTGCAATCCAAATCACATGAAAAACATGCAAGGGTAAGCTGGATTTAAAAAAAATACAAGTATAGGAAGGAACATCTATACTACTCACCAACATGTAAACCAATCAAAACACGTAACATGGTTTACAACATTCACCAAACCACACAACACCAACATGTTTGAAAGCTAAAACACCCAAGCAATCAAACATTCACCACAATCATATAGTACAACAATATGTTCATCTGATGCATCTAAACAACATTAACAACTCTCACAATATCATATGCATACTCATAGAAGTCTAAGTAACTTGACCCTATTCAACCAACCCAATCACTTTTATGCCCAATGCGCTTGTCAAATCAACAGCTAACATGGGATACCAATCCCCTACCTCTGATTTCTCAGGTGTTGCCACTTGCACTAGGAAAGTTCAATTTTGTTTTCAAGACTAGTATAGTTGGTAATAGGTGTACCACAATCTTGGCATGGATTACTGAGTCACATATAAAGTTAGCCCACTAATTATTCACAAGAAACCATGCAACCTTTCTAATAATCAGTTAAGGGTGATTGCCCTCAACTTCATACTTTACTTTACATTAACTAAAGACCTAGAGGAAACCCAACAAAATCCACTATGAGAGTTTCACACCTACTCAAGAAGGATTTTTCAATAATTAGCCTCTTAGAGCGCCAAAACATGATTCCCTATATAGGATCTTCAACTTTCAACAATATCCTCTCCTCTAGTCCTAAGCCAATCAACATGCTTTAATGCCTACAATATTCTTAGCATCAATGCCTCAACATATATCATCTATATACATTACCATAGGTCAATGCACATAGAGATCAAATCATACCATCATACATTACATACCAATGCTAGTCATCTCCTTCATAATAACATACCAATGTCTATCTACCACTCTAATCATGCAATTATAGCATATAAATCTCACACAACATATCAATGTTCATCACTTATTTCAATCATATACATGATACCGCTAATGTATATCGTCACAGATTAATTAATATAGATAGACTCAACATTCATCATAAATCATACAACATGCAATAAACTCAATTACTATCTTCATGTTAACCAATTCACCCACCAAACATCATGTATCATCAAAATAACTTGCACTTGGTGCCATTAAGGTAGAGAGTTCTCTGCCTCATCCACGCTTGGCAACATTCAACCCGTTCCCAACGTGACTGAGGTAGGAACTCTTGGGCCTCATGCCTGGTGTGGCAAAATTCATAATTAGCCTCATATCAAGCAAAGAGTCTCTACCTGAATCAGGCTTGGTGCCACCTAATTTGGGTCTTAACGTCACCAAGTTAGAGGCATTCCAATACTCTCACACTCAACGCCATTCAGACCACGCCTAACACCATCCCAACCCTAGATTAGTCTCTCTCTTGAAACTCGATGCCACTGATCATGTGCCCAACATGGTCGAGACGAAGACCTCTAGGTGGAATTGCGTTTGGCGCAACATCAAAAATCTACAAATGTAGACTTCAAAAATTACCTCAATCCACATAAAAAATAGTCAAACCAAACATGCAATGCATCCAACTTCACATACCGACCATCCACAACTCAAAACCAAGTTCAATTTCAACATGCAACATCATACATGATCGATCGTCAAAATTCACCATTTTTCCCATTCTTGCACCAAGACGCATCCAAATCAATAAACATTCAATTTGAATTCATTCAGAAAGACAACATTTAATAAAACAATCAACATACAACTTAGCTAATTCATCAAAACACTCTTAACTTCCCTTACCACAAATCCTAGCCACCAAGAGGAAGAAATGAGGAAGAGGAAGAGAAGAACTCCAGGAACTCTGAACCCACACCAAAATCCTCTTTAAATTCTAGTCTCACACACCCCATAAGCTCTCAACAGCAAGGATCACCCTCTATTGTGCTTGGGGACCTAAGAGAAAAAGAAGAATGCTCATCAAAGGAAGTTTGACCACCACCACCAACATTGCTACACATACACTCTTACCCACCTAGTGTTACAATATTTATTTATAAATTAAATTTTAATATTTTTAAAACAATTCACTCACAAATATTAAACGTGAATAACTATCTTCTATAAGTGCATTTTTAGGGATTATTTTTATTTACTAACTGAATTTTTCGTTTATCATATTTATTTTTTAAATAATCAAACTCTCAACCAATATATATTAAATGCGAGCAGTCATCTTTCGTAAGAGTATTTTTAGGAAGTTTTTTTTTTTACTTTTTCATTTGATTTAATTTAATTTTTTATTTTTATATTTATTTATTAATTAATTTTTAATATTTTAAAATAAATTATCAATGATAAAAAATAATCTGTGTTACAATATCTTAAATTTAAAACATAATTTTTATATCTAAAAATATTAATTTATATAATTTTTAAAATAACATATATTTAAATATAGTATTTATTTGTATATATATTATTATAAATTTTAGTTATATATAATTAACATTTAACTTGTAAAATGCATAAGATAAACTACTAGAAATACAAATTTTTGTAACAAAAATTACATATAATACAAATTTAATATGTTTCTATTAAAGTAATGATTTGTCACTCTTATATTGGTTTAGTACACGTAAAGATGTTTTAAAAGATTAAAATCTCAAATACCTGGAAATTGGATAAATAAGAAGAAAAAATTGCATGTTTATCCAACATTAAAACCTAAATAATATAGTGCAAGACATAAAACAAAATTAAGGTTTTTATTAAAATAATGATTCGTCACTCTTTTATTGGTTTAGTACACGTAAAGGTGTTTGAAAAGATTATAATCTGAAATAACGAGAAATTTAATAAATAATAGGAAAAATGCACGTTTATCCAAAATTAAAAAACTGAATAATGTATAGTAATATATAATACAAAATTTTGTACCAAAAAAGAATAAATAATACAAATGTATTTTTATTAAAATAATGATTTGTCACCTTTTTATTGGTTTAGTACACGTAAAGATGTTTCTGAAGATTTAAATCTCAAATAACTAGAAATTGGATAATATAAGGATAAATACGTTTTTATCCGAAGTTAAAAACTGAATAATATAGATAATAAACTGATTGTTTATTTGAAATTAAAATTAAAATCTAAATAACTATCATTTTGGGAGTAACTAAACAATCTACTGTAACTAAACAAGCATATTTATACAAAATTATTCAAATCAAGGCACAAATTATTCAAGGTGCTCTTTATTTTATTTTATTTTTGTCTATAAATATAATTAACCCAATATTCATATCACTACGTTAGTCCCTTGTCTTTCAAACTCTCATCTTTAATTAAGAGCACTGTTTCATTATGACTTCACCAAATTACGAGGATTCATGCATTGAATACTATGAGATGGACAACCAATTTTGCAACTGTGACAAGAATGACTCTGGTCCCTATTATGAGTTCTTAGAATATCCACTTTGTGTCCCACAAGACTCATTAGAAAGTTTGGAAGGGATTAACTTCTGGGATGACATGGATTTGATTTCGATCGATTTCATGTTTTTCCACTCTTCGGATGAGACCATGGAGCAATTAGAAAATAATAAAGATGAAAAGAAACCATTTTTAAGGGATGCATCAAAAACTAATCATGGGTCTCCATTAGAGTTGCAAAACATGTTAGCAAAGTCTAGAACTGAGATCTTGGAAGAAAATGAAACGTCTGATGGATGGGAAGACTACAAAGTTGATTTTGAAATTTCAATAACGCCAAAGAGAAATGCTATGAAAAGGAAAAGAAGGTGCAAGAAGAGAACATATAGCAAAAGAAGATGCAGCCATTGTAATGTGAAAGAAACACCTCAATGGAGAGTTGGTCCTTTGGGGAGAAACACTTTGTGCAATGCATGTGGAATGAGATACAAGTCAGGGAGATTATTGCCAGAGTATAGACCTGCGTCGAGTCCAACTTTCAACGTGAACAAGCATTCAAATGTTCATAAGAAGATACTAATAATGAGAAGTTAAGTTTTCTTTTTCTTTTTTTTTTTTGTTAATAATATTTAGTTTAAGTGGGATTTGTTTTATATTTAGTTTAGTGTTGAAATAACAATGATATTGTATTTCATTGAAGATTTGGATATATTTAAATTGTAATCATGATGAAGTTTGAATAAAGTTGGTGATCTTTTTAAATACATATTTTACTTTTATTTCTTTACAAACTACGATGAATTACCTTACACTACATTGATTAAACTAAACGATCTTATTTTATAAAGAAGAAAAAAATAATCTTACTTAATAGGATTTGATCTATAGGCTCGTACTCAAGGAGACACGAACTTACATTACATTGATTAATAGACCTCAACTTTTAAAAAATAATTCATGACAATTATTTATTTTATCTAATATATATATA